CGGGTGTCGAGCTGCAGAAGTGAATACAGTCAGTGGCTGAATGATGAGGAGAAGACCGGGCTGCGGACGCTGGGACTCACTCCTGGGCTGGTCGTGGTGGAAAGTACTGAGGAAGAACAGAGTTTGTACATACAGTTAGTAGGAGACTGTGCATCGACCTGCGTGGTGGAGAAGGAGCCGGGTAGAGGAGGTCCGTGGTCCGGAGAAGCGACAGAGGCGAAGGCGAGGAGGAATGAAACAATGGAGCTAAAGACTGGAACAGAACTAGGGCGACAAAACGTGAAGATACTATACAGCAAATGAGAACAGGAAACAAACGGGCCTGATAACGCTAGAAAGAACTGGCAGGGGAGTGAACGTAGAGCAGGGAATAAATAGGGAGAACTAATCAGGTGCAGCTGTTGGTGATCAGGGGACATGAAGCAGGTGTGGCGGATAACGTAATCAAGGTAAGGGAGCAAAAACAGAGTGAGGGGAGTGAGAAGGCAGGCGCAGCCGGGCAAACCTGACAGACGGTGGTAGTAATATTTTTTCACGAAAACATAGGTTGTAATTCAGAATCATACTCAGTACCCCAAGGTATTTTAAACACAATAAACTTCACAAAGATGACTTCTCGGTTTGGCTTGGCAGGCGTATCTACATATACATAATTCAAACACCTTTTTATAGTATGCAGTGCAGCATTGCATGAATGCACTTGGCTGGCTGCGAATCACTGTGCCTGGTTGCCTAGAAAACAGCACTAGATAAACTCTGGCATATTTACACACATCACGGTGCAACTTGTTTACACAACACAGGAGGGACTTGTCAGCTTTCAAGACACTGTAAACGCAATAATGTCAGGATTTTGTTCACATTGTGAAGTTATAGATAAGAAAGGAAGCAAAGGAATGTGTGTCTTCTCTCTGTGTGCATGTGTATTTCCTTGTGCGCGTACATTTATGTCACTTTATCCTCAAACTTTTGCAGGAGCATGAATGCACCTTCCTGAGTATGTGTGTAAATGAGGGCTCTAGCATAGATGTGGGTTTATGCATAGTGTGTGGGTGAGTGTGTGTGTGTGTGTGTGTGTGTGTGTGTGAGGCCTGTTGCTGGCCATCCAAGCAGACAGGTGTCAGGTTGTATCAGCGCATCGCTCCAGCAACCAGGTGGAAATCTAGAAGGTGAATCACCGGGCCACACTGGAGCAACAAAACTGCTCGGCTTAGTGTACCATTTCCTTAACACACACTTACACTGATGGGGGACACACTGGCAAACACACACACACACACACACACACACACACCATTATTGCATAGTGAGAGAAGAAGAAATACAGGATGCAAGGAAAGGAGTGTAGCTACATGCAGAGAAAGTAAGAGGAATGAGCACAGACTCAAGGTCGCTTCTTGACTAGGTCTGGCACACACACACACACACACACACACACACACACACACATTCAGACTGAGTCACAAAAAGTCACATATGAAGTGAGAAACACACCTACTCGCACATATGATTGCGTGACTGATTCCAGCATGAGGCACTGAGCTGGAGAGAGAAACACACACAAAACAGAGAAGCACGTAGTAAATGAACACATCAAATTAGCAGCTTGATTGAATTGAACATACATAGAAACACATCTCCACAGGGGCTTTGTGTGTGTCGCCTGCATTTTGTCAGTGCTTGATGAGGAGAATGATCACTCTTCCCTTTTCTCCTTCCCTCTATCCCTCATTTTCTCACTCCTAATTAATTTACACACACACGCCCCCACACAAGCACACACACACTGTTGTGAAGATAATTGCCGCAGCAGTGATGCAGGCTAATGACAGGAGAGTGGAGCAGAAATAACAGCGGATGGGGCACCAGCACTGATGTTCCCTTCAACATATCTCTGCTTCATCAAACACCCCTCCTCTCTCTCTCTCTCACACACACACACACACACTCCTCCACCTCTCTTTTCACCTTCCTTTTTTCCTCCTCATTTTTAACTCAACCCCTACACACACCACGCAGACATTTCCGCCTCCTTCCTTATTCACCCACTGCCTTCTTGTCGCCTCCGTCACGTCTCTCCTCCTCCGCCGACGACACTTCTCGCTCCTCTCCTCATTTCCTCCCCCTCATCCTCCTGTTGCCTACTTTCCTTCTATATTGTTCCGCTCTCACCCCACATCCTCCTCTGTCCTTTTCCCCTCCTTCTTGTTATCTCTCTTTCACTTCTTGCTCCTTTCTCTACCCCTCTTTTGCCTTTGGGTGCCGAAGCAACAGAGGAGTGTCGGGGAGCCTTTGATCACAGCAGCTTTAACCACAATTGAGAGTGATGTGTTGCAGGATGAGACCCATGTACCAGAAAACCTTGGCTAGCCTGTCTGCACTACGCCTGGCACTTGCCTCGCTTTCCCTTTTCTTTTCTGCCTCTGTGAGTGTGTGTGTGTGTGTGTGTGTGTGTGTGTGTTGCTGACAATGTATATGCACAGCTAGACATCCTAATGGCTAGGAACTTTTAGCAGCCCACTGGGCTATGAAGGGCTGAACTCACCTTGAGCATTGAGAGCAAGAAGAAGAAGGAGAAAGACAGAGGCAAACAGATAACAAGGTGCACACACACACACACACACACACACACACACAGACAGACATATACAAGAGCAATAGGTAGATACAGAGTTTTTAAAAGCACTTTAAAAAAATGACATGTTCAACTGTCCACATACTTATGGCCACATAGTGTGTTTCCCAACAAAATCTATGTTTCTACTCAAATGGAAAAATGGGGGAAGAATTTAGCATAATACAGTATTTCATTATTGTTTCTGACATAAAGTTATATATGATAATTTCCTGAGACATTTCTAGATTGGATTTTGTAGTAAATGGTTGACAAGGCCTGCTCGCTGTCAAAGCAGCCCTGTCCAGATCTGGAGTACACAAGTCGTGAGTCATTTTGTGTTTTGGCATTTCAGTGCCGTGTTTGGTCAGAAGAAAAGAAGTGACAACTGAATGGAAACTGCAGCCAAAATCTTGTGTAGAGCTTGAAACTAGAAGACTGGGGCCTATTGTTGTGGCATATTTAATGGCCATCTTTTGACACATTCTGTATCAAATGTCCACATGCATTTGTGTATACTGTTATTCCCTCTATTACTTCTTTCGCTCCTTCCTCATCACACACAGTGAATGTTTCCATGCACATGATTGATGTACATTTCCCCCCAAAACTGGTAAAAAGACAGTTGGTTCAAAGGCATTATGTTACTTTCACAAATGAACTGGTGTCCACTGCACAAGTTTAATTGCCTTCAATGTTCTTGTGGCTGAATGGGTACAAATGGCCCCAGCTAGGCTCCAGACTGTAGTAGAAAGCCTTCCCAGAAGAAGGCAGGGTAATGCCAAAAGAAAATAGTTGACAACTAAATGATAAATGGAAATGTTTTGCAAAATTACAAAACAACTGCAAGTAAGGTTGAACTCTCATTGGCTGTTTTATGTTGTATATTTTATATTTATATTCCTGTATTTTTCATTATGCTTCTTTCATCGGCTGTTTTACAGTGCCTTAGATTTTGAGATTTAGATTTTGTGTTACCTATGTATCTGCGCTATATTTCACTTATATTGTGTGGCATTCGTGTGGATGGCAAAGTAAGAATTTCATTGTACAGGGAAACACGTTTCCTCACTGTGCATATGACAGTAAACCCTTGACCAACCCAAAATCGATTGTTAACCCAGCTAATGCTCTTGTAGCTGAAAGGGTGCAGATCCTAGCAGCCAGGCTGTGAAAGCCTGTGGAAAGCATCAGGGTGGGCAAGTCTGGTCCTTGACAGCTACTGCTTTTTTTTCAACTATCCCTGCCTTCAAACCCTGTTGATTACCTGGATCAGGTGTGTTCACTCAATTAGAAGGGGTAGTTGGAAAACAAGCAGGGCAGCGGCCCTCGAGGACCGGACTTGCCCAGCCCTGATATACGTATGAAGAGAGGCTTTCTGCTCCCTTATTAGCGATCCTGTATGTATCCCGTGCTGCATAGATGCAGGGGGTAGACAGTAACATTTGGTGGGGGCAGAGAATGCTGTCAGCTTGTTGACTGACTGAGTGATCTGTTCAGAGGCAGCACAGCAGGCCTGACACCCTGAGGACAGCAGAATGTAATAGAATCCAGATGTAAGTAGTACCTGTGAACACACAGGGCCTTTTATCACACTCCGACAAGAAGATGACACAAAATCCAGTATCCGCTTGAGGGGAGGGCATAAACTTTTATTTTGAAAGATACAAACATGTGGCATTAGCCCCCACTGATGAAATCAACCTGCTAATAGTTGAAACCAGTGAATGACAGGGAAAAGTATTTTTTTAGTGCTGATACCGGATAAGAACTGACTTTGTTGAGTCATATTGAAGTGTTCAGTAGATGTGTGATATTTAAAGTTGTGGAGGTCTGCTGAGACTTCACTAAAGATGGTGCTGTCCAATTAATTCAGATACAAATGTCACAATGTGCATCACCTGCTTTGTACACCCTTTACTCACAAATGTCTGAGCTCTGGTCTTCATATCTTGTTGAAACACTGGTTCTTCATGACGTGTGAAGCATGAAAAACAGTCAGTTAAATCTGAACAGAAAGAAAATTCATCATTCCACTTCAGTTGTGGCAGATGTGTTCAGAGTGCCACCTGATCTTCCTTATTGCAAAGCTGTTGTGTTACACTGCTAGTTATTGGAATGTGTACCTAATAAACTGGTAGCTTTCTACTTACAGAGACAGTCTGTGCACACAGCTCTGTGGAGAACCTGCCTGTAGAAAAGTAGAGTCCTCACCTCCAGTACTGATACTGGAGGGAAAGAATTCAAGCAGTACTCTTTGCTATACTCTTACAGTACAGGGACAGTTATTCTGACATTTGTTTTTAGCAACTCAGTCGGCCATTAAAATGTAAGCGGTGCTACATTCCGGTTTTTTCTCATGGTTCCTCTGTATGTTCTGTTGCAGAATGGAGCCTATCCCCTGGCAGCGTTGCATGAACACTTCAAGACACATCATCCAAACCATAGTGTTAAACGTGGGTGTGAGAAGTGCCAAGAAAAGTTCCTGAATCAAGGAGCTCAGAGCAAGAATGTTGCACACTGACACTGGATGCACATATGTTGATTTGTTTTATGTGTAAGGTGCACTACAAAAGGTCTGCAGTGCTGTGTCAGCATTTGAGGTTTCACCATGGTTCATATCTGGAAATGTGGACAACTGGAATGTTCTTTATCATTTTGCACTTATTTGGGTTTCAAGAAAGAAACACCTTCTTTCCACAGGGACAGTGTTTTATGTTATTGACAGTGTGGACACTGAAAGAAGGTGAGGGGGTCTCATAGACTCTCCAATACCCACCCAGGATCATCATGTTTTAACATATGCCAGCATATGTGCTTATTCACACGTATCTTTACTGTCTTGTCTTTTACATGACAATGAAGGTTTGTGGAGGTTTTTCATGAACCAATTATTGATGATGATGATGATAAACAAAAGGAGCGTCCCATGTGATTCTGCCTTTGGACTGTGTGTGTCAGGCTTGCTCGGGGGCACCTGCCTCTCTCACCTCCCTCTCTTTGTTTCTCGGTTCCTGATCACACCACCTTGCACACCTGCCACTTGTTTCCTTAATCAACGCCAGCTGCTCTCAGGCCAACAACCAGTGCATATACATACATATATATGTTTATTCCCGTTTTGTTCCTCCTCTCTACCTTCTCCAGGGACAGTTACCTCTGGACCATTACTCCTCACCACTCTCCCAGTCTCCACCAGCCAGGTCGGTACACAGTCGACTCCATCTGCTCACCACACGTCTTTACTCTGTCTCCTCAGCCGTTTCCACCTCCACTGACTAGCCCAGGAGTGACCTTAGCATCCACAGCTAGGCCAACTTCACCTATGCCTTCCCTGGACAGTTATTGCTAGCTGATCAGCACCCGGTTCCTCTTTCCCATTATTTCTGTTTAGCCTGTTTCTCACCTCACCTGTAGATAGTCTGTATAGCACCAATAAATTTTGCTTGCACTGAAGTCAGCCATCTGGGTCCATTCTCTTGTTTTTCGTTCACTCACCCTCCCGTGTGTGAGCATTTCTAACAATTTGGCCGTGCCCTGCTTTGCACAGATACAGTGCCTTGCGAAAGTATTCGGCCCCCTTGAACTTTGCGACCTTTTGCCACATTTCAGGCTTCAAACATAAAGATATAAAACTGTAATTTTTTGTGAAGAATCAACAACAAGTGGGACACAATCATGAAGTGGAACGAAATTTATTGGATATTTCAAACTTTTTTAACAAATAAAAAACTGAAAAATTGGGCGTGCAAAATTATTCAGCCCCTTTACTTTCAGTGCAGCAAACTCTCTCCAGAAGTTCAGTGAGGATCTCTGAATGATCCAATGTTGACCTAAATGACTAATGATGATAAATAGAATCCACCTGTGTGTAATCAAGTCTCCGTATAAATGCACCTGCACTGTGATAGTCTCAGAGGTCTGTTTAAAGCGCAGAGAGCATCATGAAGAACAAGGAACACACCAGGCAGGTCCGAGATACTGTTGTGGAGAAGTTTAAAGCCGGATTTGGATACAAAAAGATTTCCCAAGCTTTAAACATCCCAAGGAGCACTGTGCAAGTGATAATATTGAAATGGAAGGAGTATCAGACCACTGCAAATCTACCAAGACCTGGCCGTCCCTCTAAACTTTCAGCTCATACAAGGAGAAGACTGATCAGAGATGCAGCCAAGAGGCCCATGATCACTCTGGATGAACTGCAGAGATCTACAGCTGAGGTGGGAGACTCTGTCCATAGGACAACAATCAGTCGTATACTGCACAAATCTGGCCTTTATGGAAGAGTGGCAAGAAGAAAGCCATTTCTTAAAGATATCCATAAAAAGTGTTGTTTAAAGTTTGCCACAAGCCACCTGGGAGACGCACCAAACATGTGGAAGAAGGTGCTCTGGTCAGATGAAACCAAAATCGAACTTTTTGGCAACAATGCAAAACGTTATGTTTGGCGTAAAAGCAACACAGCTCATCACCCTGAACACACCATCCCCATTGTCAAACATGGTGGTGGCAGCATCCTGGTTTGGGCCTGCTTTTCTTCAGCAGGGACAGGGAAGATGGTTAAAATTGATGGGAAGATGGATGGAGCCAAATACAGGACCATTCTGGAAGGAAACCTGATGGAGTCTGCAAAAGACCTGAGACTGGGATGGAGATTTGTCTTCCAACAAGACAATGATCCAAAACATAAAGCAAAATCTACAATGGAATGGTTCACAAATAAACATATCCAGGTGTTAGAATGGCCAAGTCAAAGTCCAGACCTGAATCCAATCGAGAATCTGTGGAAAGAACTGAAAACTGCTGTTCACAAATGCTCTCCATCCAACCTCACTGAGCTCGAGCTGTTTTGCAAGGAGGCATGGGCAAAAATTTCAGTCTCTCGATGTGCAAAACTGATAGAGACATACCCCAAGTGACTTACAGCTGTAATCGCAGCAAAAGGTGGCGCTACCAAGTATTAACTTAAGGGGGCTGAATAATTTTGCACGGCCAATTTTTCAGTTTTTTATTTGTTAAAAAAGTTTGAAATATCCAATAAATTTCGTTCCACTTCATGATTGTGTCCCACTTGTTGTTGATTCTTCACAAAAAATTACAGTTTTATATCTTTATGTTTGAAGCCTGAAATGTGGCAAAAGGTCGCAAAGTTCAAGGGGGCCGAATACTTTCGCAAGGCACTGTATACTCAAAAGTCTGAGAAAAGGTTTGTCATTGTTTCTCCTTTTATCTTAAAACATGGACAAAACATGGCCTACAATGAAAGCTGAAAAGAGAAAAATAAAACCAAACATTGATTGAAGATGTTGCTGTAAAACCATTAAATCACAAAGTTTTATTTATTTAATAATCATCAATTATCAGATCATGGAAAACTTTCAAAAACCTTTATCAGTGAGGCTGTTTAATCAAGAACATAGTAAAGGCAGATAAGATGATCAGCAGATGTAAGAACTGACGGACAAAAACGAAGTGTGAAAAGTCTGAGATTTAGCAGTCGCCTTGGGCTCAACTTCTGCTGTTTAATGGTGGTTAGTGAGCAACTTTACATGCATTTTCACCAGCTAGACTGGACCTGTGGATCACATTGGCTCCTATATTTGCAACTATAATGAAAACACCTCACTCTACCTAATCTTTATTAGTTTACTCTGTTCTAAAAACCTAAAGATTGCTCTGAACCCTACATCCCCTGAACTGCCTGGCAACATCTCTTAAATTAAATCCTATGGCATTACTTTAAATTGTACTTTTCAATGACTCCCTCTCCCACCTGAATCTTGGAAGGAAAAACAAGACTGTAGTGTTTCCTGTAGCCCCCAAAGCTCACAGTAGTGACCAGTATTATACTCCTTTATCAACTTCAGTGTACTATTCAAACCAGTATGACCAAATGTCATTGTTCAAGTAATGTCTTTTTCTTTCCTATGATGTTCTCTCATTTCTCTTTCTTTTGAAGACTGACAGTTATGACCCTTGCTTTCTTTGCCTTTGCTGTTTCACAGGCCCACGCATTAAATGAGCGGGTTAACACGTGATTAATTCACCTATGCTTGGGTACAGTCACGTGGGGCCGGGCTTGTTGGCCATTGGTCACTAAGCGAGTGACGTCTGACTGTCAAGATTTTAAAGATGGTGTCACTTCAAATCTATAATTTTGTTTTGTTAATGGCATGGTGCTGCCACATCACAACAGGGGAGCGACGCTGCCGGTTGTTTGCTGCGAAAGTTTATGTGGGACAGGTTTAATGTTGTTTTGTGAGTCATTTATTCTTTCACGAAGTGTTTTCATTAATCATGTTTTAATATCGGTGTGGACGAGCTCCCAAAAGCAGCTGCTGCTTCACTTTGTCCCGTATAACTTTGGCTAGATGAAGTTAGCCAAGCCACCAGAGAGGTACTGTTTTTGTCATTGTAGCTAAAAAAATAAAGTATTTAAACCCGTATACTTTAGGTTCCAATGTGGCTGCTTGACCAGCACAAGTGCAGACTGGCCACTGATTTAATCTTTGATTTTATGACATGGAAAGTTTTCTCTCACTGACACTTTGCTTCTTCTCCACAGTGGGTGAGGTCTATGTGCTTGACAGATCAAACTCATCCCTTCAGCACCAACAATGAATGCCCTCATCTCTGACTTTGTCAAGGTATGCTTGTTTTAAAATAGCTGATTTATGCATTTATGTAGTTTTTCATCATTTTCGTCATTGCTACATGTAACTGCAGTGATCAAGTTACTTTTACTTGATCATTACAGGTGCATATTGTGAGGGCTTCTTCTTGCTCCTTATAGCCTACACCCTCTAAAACCTACCTACTGTGTGTGTGTGTTTGTGTGTGTGTGTATAATCTATCAATTTCAGGGATGCAAAATCAGCTCCCCAGTTTAATTGGGTTGTCGATGTCCAATCAGGTTTTTGTACGTTTCTCATGAACTGATTATTGATGGTGATTATTGTTAAATAAATTAGCCTTTATGATTTAATGCCTTGTAGTATTTTGTTCAGTCACTGGTTTGACTTCTCTCATCATTCATTTGTAAAATGACTTTACTGACCTCTTGTGCTTTATAATCATATTGAGTGTGTGTGCAAAACAGCAGCACGGCCAAACAGTCCTGTCAAAGGCAGTAATGTTACTTTTGTAGTTTAATAATAATCAGTTCATGAAGACTATCAACAAATGTAAGAAGTACAAAAGAAAAAAAAATCAAAGTGTGAAAATCTTGGACTTTGCTGAGGCTTTTGGCTTGTTCCACATGACTACGCCCTAAATTAGCACATTATCTCATCTGAACAGGCAAAATTACCTGTAGTACTCCTTTTGTTTATTTACTGAAATGCAATGTGATTTACTTCATGTTGGCAAAACAGAACAGTCTAAAAGCCTCCTTTTTCCAGGTATTTCACTGCCTTTGATCAGTTATATTTTTAAAATTAACACGTTTAACAAAAGATGTTTGGTCTTCATGCACCATACGTGATGGAGTAGATGAATTTTACAACTACACTGGGGGTAATGTCTCATAAAATGATGCTTAGGAATAAATTTTCTTTGAGGAAACAGATTTGAACAGCTTGTGGTGATCATTAATCAAATAGTTCAAATAATACACCACTGTGAAAACACCATATTCACTGTGTGAATGAAAAGGAGGAGCATATTCCAATAACCACTTGGTTCTTTCCAGTACACCACCAAACATAAAGAGCATGTCTTACAAGACAGGGCAGGCTCCTCAATACAAAATAAATACAATCAAGTCTGAATATCTTCTGCTTTGAACCTGTGGGATTTGCTGTCTCATCGTTAAAAAAGTCAGTGGATAGATCTGACTCTAGACTATTGTTTCTTCTCTGCACACATCAAATCACAGCTCAACAACATATTCTACAGGTTCAACTATTTCCCACTTTTGGGATGAATGAATGACAGAGGTGTTTCAAATCAACATAGTTGCACCTAATGGTGTTTAGCAGCTCAGGTGGCAGTGCGCAACAGTCGCACTCTGAGCTTGACTCGGCGTTTCTTTAGCACCTCCGATGCCCATGTTGAACACCGTGGTGTGGATGAACGTGTAGAAGATGAAGTGTGCCTTAATGAGCTCATCGATCGCTGCACCTTGTGGTCAGTGATGACATAGAACATGGACACATGGGAGGAAGAGCTGTCCTGTTTCCAAACTCCCAGGAAAGAACACCGACTCCGACCTGCAAAAAAACAGAGCCATGAAAAAACACTGGAATGTACGGCCGCTTACGTTTTAATGGTCAGCTAAGCTACTAAAAATAAAGGTACTGCAACACAAGAAGTGGCAGTGACCAACTGCATAAACTGTCACTAAAAACAGCTTCATTTTACCCGTCGTCTTGTGGCCTTGTGAGACGAGCTAACAGTAGAATGCCTGAGAGGTCTCTGTCCCAGTCTAGGGCCAAAGTATAAACATAATTAGAAACTCTTACATCTGAAAATAGCTTGACATAAATCTCTATGATGTCAAAAACTTGTAAGGAAACTAGATGTTTTTAAAAGAAGACTCATCTGGGTTTTGCTCCATAGACAAGAAGCCTTCAACAGGCGGTCTGCCAGCATGGTAGGTTTGAAGTAAGGAAAACCTTCAAATGTAATGAAGTCTTGGTCAGTCTACAGCAGAAACATCAAAAGTCCTTGCAGTCCCCAGCCATACACAATTGAACTAGCTCTCTGTTCGTGCAACTGAAAGTGTAGACCTTGAGTAATTGTTCACTCTCTTAAAAAAGCTAATTAAACATATACCTATGTTTAATTAGTGTTCTTTACCCAGCCAGGGGGAAATGTTGCTCTCATCTTCTCGACACCTGACACATCACAGTGGCTTGTCAGTCAGTCGCTGTTTGGACTGTGCTGATAGGTGGTGGATGTCCAGGACTGAGCGGCAGTGCTGGACGGTCTTCATCCTCTGGGCCAAGTAGCCAGATCCACTTTCTGCATCACAGTAGTGTTTCTTTAAAATGCTCACATCTCTTATCTTTTTATGTGCTTTTTAATATATCCACAACACAGATGGCGATGTGATTGGCTGATACATGTGTGGATTATATTTTACTCCCACCCACGAGAACACTGCAAAAAAAGACTGGTATACGCAGGGTGCAACTAACAAATGCATTTGTACTCACAGCCCTGGTTTTGTACTGGACAGTGTGGATTTGTAGCTGTTATGTGAACACTGAGCACAGGCTGCTACCAAACAGTTGAGTACTAAGTCGCATTATTTATTACAGTACAAACAATCTCTGACACTGTGAATACACCCCATGGGCAGCAGCACACTTAGCTATGAGCATCCATTTACAGAAATAAACTTTGGCATGCCAGAGAGCAGCAGGGAATGCACTGAAGTGATGTCACTGACTTCATTCTACTGTTTGTTTGAACATTTAATTTACTGTCTTTTTTTTGGAGAATGGTATTAATCTGTCACTAACGGGAGCAGACACTTGGAAGCCTCAGTGACAACACTTTGTGCAACACAATGTCTTTTCCTTTTGTTCTGTCATTTACTGAGAGCTTTTACTGCCCAGTATTGGACAAGATTCAGTCTGTTTAATTACATGTGCTCTCTTCAGCCAAAAATGCCAGACACAGAAATAACAATTTTGTTATTGATCATAAAGGTGCATATGCTGATGAAATGCTGCAAATATATTGGTAAAGCACAAACAAAACAGCCTGCCAGCAATGGCAAATCTCTGTCTCTGGAATTAAACTCTCCTGCCCATACTTTTACAACAGTTGACCACAAATCACTAGCGCATTTGATTGAAAGTTGTTTTTTTTGGGTCAAATGAACACATAATTACTGTCAGGCTTTCTCAAGCACTTCACAGAGATGGATCTGCTTGCAATACTAGTTACACATCTTTCAGTAGTATTTTAGTTACATTAGCCTGTTGCCTAAAAACAAAACTTTAGTGTGCAATACCATACTGTAAGTTCCACCTCATGCCTCAAACTGTAGGTAGCCCATTTGCTCCCAGAGACAGTGGTTGTAGAAATGAGAGCAGCTTGATTTTGTAATTCCACTCATTGTAGCACATGACAGGGACAATAAATTGTAAGGCTTGGAAAAAACAGGGGCCTTTTTTGGCCTCATGCTGATAACAACACATCATTATTTATGTGTCATAGAGTACAACACTGAGATAAACACAGCTTTTTTTCCTCCATCCATCCCAGCATATCTCTAGACAGACAGTCTGGCTCTCAAAGTACTGCTGTGCATTCAAAGTCCTATTTTTATTTATTTATTTCCAAGGCAATGTCAGGTCGTGATGCTCCTGACACTCTGCGGCGTTAACATGCAGTGCAGCTTCAGAGACATGTCTTTTATGAGTCAGAAGATGTAAGCAGCAATGGTGTCTTGCCCAGATGGTGTCAAGGAGGTATTATGCAGCGGCAGCGCAGTGGGTCATGTTGTGTAAAGAACCAGTATGTGGCCCTGACACTGTATGTGGCACACCACTGAGGAGGTTTGGAGACAGCACAGGCTGCTTAATTCCTTTATCCTGAAGCTGTTCAAGCTGCAGCGGATGCTCGGCGGTGAGGTGTACCCTTACCACAGTGACCTGTTATGAACAACTTCATACCCACAAGGGGAATTAAATCATTAAGACAGCTGTAAGTTTAATATCTATCAGATATTATTTGAAATGTATACAGCCGTTTATAATTTGAAAGGGTGCCTGTAAAATTATGGAAGCACAGGCAGTTGTAGACATCAGTGACAAAAAATACTTCATTACCAGAAGCTCAGAGGATGGTAAGCCTCAAAAACACAAAAAGACAGTTCTATGAGCTGATGAAACAAAACCCCGACCAAAGTGATAAGCTGAGGAAAGTGTGGAGAAAGAAAGGAACAGCTCATCGGTCAAACACGGCGGTGCTTCTGTTATGGCCATTATGGCAACTGGAACACTGGCATTTATTGATGATTTAGCTGCAGATGGAAGCAACAGGATGAAGGCAGAGGTATATAGAAGAGCACTGCATGTGCTCAGATTCATCCGAATGCATCAGAACTCACTGTACAGCACTACATCATTCAGCGGGACAAGAACCTTAAACATACAGCCAAAGCAACCAAAGAGCTTTTCAGGGTGAAGAGGTGGAATATACCAAACCAGCCGAGTTAGTCATCTGATGTGCTGCGTTCCGCCTGCTGAAGACCAAGCATCTACCCCCTGCAGTATATATACCCACTGTTGAGTAAAATTGTTAACAAAGTAATACATTAGGATTAGTTTTAATATTAGACTGAATTAAGGATTTAGTTAGTAGAAGATTGATACTATGTTTGTTGATTAGTTAACTTGTTTGTTTACTGTGTGTGCCTATGATTATTCTATCATATTAAGAAAATGAATAATTAGGATTTAGTTTAGAGCATGCATAAGTTTGCTTACTTGTATGTTACAATTATGTTAACATAGTTAGTTGAGTATATCATTCTATGTGTTCACTGAATTCTTGGCCAGTATTTACTGTGTTAGCCAACTGGGGTACTGTTTAACATCAAGGGAGACTGATTCACTAAAACACTGAAAACTCATTAGATTTACAGCCTAGCAAAGAGGGTCCACAGTTGTTTTATGACCACCACCTGGCTGATGGGATGGGGGAGCTAAGGTTTATTGGGGTTTCTAGGATAGTTGAAACAGAGATTAGATCTGAAAGCCCGGAAGAGGAGCCACTTCAAAAGACAGGGCCATATACAGACACACACAGGCAAGATAGTTTAAGTAGCCAAATGGAAAGCCATGTTTTATAGAGTGTAGTTAGTTAGTTGGAAACAAAGAGGTGAGTGTAGGAATTTAGACAGAGTAGGATTTCCTCCCTCTTTAGGAAGCTGCTTTTCCCATTGGAGCAGGAAGGATGCAGAAGGGGGACGGATGGATAGATGGACCAATGGAGCAACCCGAGAGGACCAGACCAGCCTACAATTGCACATTTCAAATTGTATAAGTAACTGGGTTTCAGGAGGGTAGGCGTTCCTTCTCGTCCTGAAGACGAATTGAACGGTTGTGCTGTTGAGGTTAGGGCTTCAGATAGAGATGGAACCCAGAGCTCTGTAAATTGCTTTATTCGATGGTCTGTTTAGTTATGATAATAAATGTTTGAAAATTGATATTCGATTCCGATTATTCTTCATGAAGAACACGCTGCACCACCCTGTATTCATCAAATTGCACTGTAGTCTGCAGGCAGCAATTGAAATTATTACCAGGTCATTTCAGTATAATGCTGCCTGTTTAATTTCCCTGTTTCCCAACAGTCATCTTTTCAAAGTATCTATTGTTGATGTGACCCTAGCTGAACACACACATCTATGATTCTCTTAGGATTTTCTAGTATTTAGAGTGACAGTAGTGACAGTTGCACCTAGACAGACTCATACTGGGGCCCCCCCGATCCACAATACTGGGGTACTGCCACATTCTTGTACTACAGGCAAGACCTTGACGGTAACAGTGAGTCACCTTTGCTAACCCTCAGCTGGAATTTCCAAACCAGGTTTGACCAGGTGATGTTCTTATCATAAACTCTCTCTTTGAAATGTTCACTTCCTCTGCTGAAGTTATTCCTGAGGTGGGAATGGACTGTTTGGGAAGAAAGGTAAAAAAAAATAAGGCAGGAAGTCAACCAGGGCACAGAGTCAAGTGGCTCATTTGAGCTTTGCAGGAGGAAGCAACATCATTGTGCGGGAGTGCACATCATCATTGTGCTTCTCTATCTGCAACAGCAAGGACCATTTGGATTATTATATCAGCCCATTGTCATTCTAATTCAACCATCTGCAGTTTCCATGGTGAAAACTGTGAGAAGCAGAGCCCACACACACAGGGACTTATCAGCAGTCATGAATATTTTCCACTGAACTCCGCCTGAACAACAGAGTGAGGAAACAAAAAAACAACAACAACACACAAACCTGTCTAGCAGTTGCTCAAACATGATGACCTAATACAATAAAGTCACTTTTATTTGAATTTATATTTCATGCTTTTATTTTTATGTGCCAAAATATTTTCAGTTTTGCAGGCAAATGCTCCATGAACAAGCAAAGAAGCAGCTTCAACTACAGCTTCTTGTTTAAATCCCAAAGCCTTGCTCTAATGTGTCAGCAGTCTCACTGCAAAAGAAACGCAGTAAGATTTGCGTGGCGACAACTTCCACCGGGCCGGAAAATCCGATCAGTCGTGCAAAGTGGTCAGCCCTTGCTGCTGCGAATGAGATCTGTGTTCAGTCAAATTGCTTTTTACAAGCAGGTTTCATCTGGGCACTGCGGTCGTCTCTGTCCTCGCAGAGACGGAGAGACAACTGCTAATGGCCTGGTATTACTAGATCCCTTGTGATATAGCGGAGGAAGTGTTTTGTCTTTATGGAGGCCAATTTATGATGTGATGTCTTACCAGATGATTTTTATGATTATTCCTTAATGGAAGGGACTTTTTATAGTAGCCAGTGTAAAGCTTAGATGAGCTGTGCTATTCATATTCACATTCTGACTAATTTGTAGAAAACAAAATTTAATTCTTGAAAGTGTTGATGAAACTGTCTATTGGCAGTCGCTCTCTGGCAGTCTGTTACCGTGACAACAACAGACTAATCAAAACAAAATATGAGTAAATTCAAAATTAAAACCTCAAGATTTTAGAAACACTGAGGTCAGGGGTCAAAGTCTCCCCCATCAGTTTTGTAAAATTCAAAAATATTTTCTTTACTTTAACCTGTCATATTTTATTTCTTCAAGTATATTTTCTTTAATTGCATTTTCAAAGCCTGTTTCAAACGTCTTTCCACACTGCCAGGGATAAAATTCTGCTCATAAATTAATGAATTTATGGATTCATTTTTTTATTTCGACAACCTAAAAGTAGCAATTACCAGTGGAATACTGTCATGGACAGAAGCCTAAACCTCAG